ACCAATACCGCAATTTTTTCTCGTCTCGGCTGTCAGGGGCAGCGTCAAGGAGGGATCGACTCACACAGGCTAATAGAGGGGGACGCATCGACCCCCAATTGCTCACCGATCGCTGATAGGGGCCAGATGGTCCATGCCGCGCCCAGGAACGCGCGGATCCGCCATTTAAGTATCGGGGGGCCCATTGCCGAACTATCGTCGATGGATCGCCGATCCCAGGTCGACGTTTCCTCCCCTCAGCAAGTCCCCTCCCCCCTACAGTTGCCCCTCGGGCTGGAGTCACCTCGGAATCCTGGTCAGGACTCGCCCCCCGGAGAGGTCCGTGGAGCAGCGTGGATGCGGTTCTTGCTGCCCCACCTCGATGTCGATCGCAGCGGGCCAGCACCGCTACGACAGTTCATTGGAGCACCCCGAGTGTCGGGAGGAGGAGGAGGAGGAGCAGCAGCAGGAGGAGGATGAGGACCAGGAGGAGGAGGAGGAGGAGGAGAAGGATTAGGAGGAGGAGGAAGAGGAGGAGGAAGAGGAAGAGGCAGGATGAGAAGGAGGCGGAGGAGCAGGAGGAGGAGGAGGAGGAGGAGGAGGAGGGGGAGGGGGAGGAGGGGAGGAGGAGGAGGAGGAGGAGGAGGAGGAGGAGGAATCCTTTTTTTCCCCCCCAGACAAGATTACATGAACGATGCAGACAAACGGGGTCGTTTGCGCCAGCATGGGCGCGTAAGCTCCCAGCGCAGCTTCGACGGCAAGCGCCCTCGTTTCCAGCGTGGCGTGCCGCGCGGGCGGCCCGCCCGAGCCGCCGCGTAATGGCGCTATGCCATCTCGCGTAAGACCCGTTTCTGATCGTCGCCACCATGGTGATTCACAGAGCTCGGACACATGGTGGTTGTGTTCAGTTGGTTAGCCATTCATCTCCCATGGTTGCGAAACACATTTTAGACGCTTCGCGTAACCCCACCAGAGACCTGCCCACTGTGGTAAGGGGTCCTGCGCCTGTCATGCGTTGGCCACTCGAATTCTGGTCATTTTGTCCAGTGCGCGTGCCCGTGCTAGCAGTACGTCTGCCAACTCTGGCCGGCCGCGTTTCTGTTTTAGCAAATTAGCCTCGCCCGTGGCCCGGACGTTGCCTTCGCCACCTGACCGCTGTCTCGTGGCCGCTGACAAAAAAGTAGCCCCACCAGAGACCGCTGGCGCTCTCGCCTGCGGTTGCGACAAAAAGTAACCCCACCAGCCCATTGCAGCCCTGCGGTACCCATTGCAGCCCTGCGCTGCCCTGCACACCGGTGCTTGGCCCTCACTGGCCATCCGGCTTGATGGCCCGCACCCTTCAGACTCCCGCCGGACGGCCTCTTATTCTGTTCACGCTGACTGCGGCTGTTAGCCGCTCCCCCCGTGCCGCCTCCTTGGCCCCGCCCCGAGGCCGTCCTGGCCGCCCCTCCTCCTGCAGGCGTCCCCTCGCAGGAGGCCTGGGCCCCACCCTGTCCCTACTTGCTCTGCGGTTGTTAGCTGCGAGCGTCACCCACACCACGTCCGTGCCCTCGGCGCTCCTCCCGAGGCGCTAGGGCCAGCAGGCCATGGATTCATCGGACCGACTCGCCCGTCCTCCTCCTGCGGCTGTCCTCCCGCAGGTGGTGCACAGGCCCGCCCGCCGCTCTCGCTATCTCTGCGGCTGTTCGACGCGACCCCCTTCAACAGTATGGCCTGGCCCGCATCGTTTCCTCCAGGGGCGCCTGCGCCTCGCGGTACATCGTCGACCGATCATTCCGGCCCGTCCACCCTCCTGCGGCTGTCCCCCCGCGTGCGGGGCGCGGGCTCAGTGGCTACCCCACGCGCTTTGCCTTTTATGTACGACCGCCACGGTACACCGTGGCCTCGGCACTCCCCCAGGGGCGCCGGGGCAAGCTGGCAATGAACATCCTGAATCGACTGTCCCGTCCTCCTCTGGCGGCTGTCCCCCCGCTGGGGGCGTACGGGCCGTCCTTGACACAGTATTTCCGCGGCTGTTAGCTGCGACCCCATCCACAGTGTGGCTGCTACGTGGAAGGTGCACAAGACTCGTATTGACGACGGCGCCGGTGTGTCACGATCTGCCCTGATCGTTGATTTGTTTGGCGTTGACCACTTCATCGGGTCGAAGGTTGCTGGTACAAGTTCTTCGCGGACAAGTCTGCTCAGGTCCCTTCGCTTTCTCCGGCCTCTGAGCGTGCTGCTTGCCCGCAGTTTCTGTCTTCAGCCGCTGCTTTCAAGCCATGTTGACCTTTGCGACGGCGCGTGACCGTACCGCTTGCACTCGCGAGCGAAAAAGTAATCCCACCCACCAGCCCGCCACAGCTTGCCCCCCCCCCGGCGCCCTGCCTGGCGGCCCTTGCCCTGCTCAGGGTGCCGCCTGGCCTCCCCCTTGACGGCAGGCGCGGACCGTCAACATCTGTCTTCGGCCTGTCCCCAGCTGCCTCTCTGTCTGTCTGCCGGCCCTTTTTCCTGGGCCCACGGCCTCCCTCCCCTCACGGGGTCGACGGACTCCCGGTCCTCCCCCGCCGCGCAAACTCCTCTTTGTCGGTCCTCACGCTGGGCCTCCTAGCCTTCCTGGTGGCGCGTGCTGTTCGCACCCTCCCTCACGGCTCCCTCCGACGCTTGTCTCGACGGTGTCAGGCGATCCGGACTTGCTCCGTTGAGCGCCCGCATGGCGTTGGTCGACATCCACCGAGGCGCGCGACATCGCTGTCACCCGCATCCGCGGTACCATGACTTGGCCTTGGGCTCGCTGTGCGTCCTGTTGGTGGTCCTCCTCGGCGCGTGCGTGGTGTCGGTCAACCCGAATTCCGCCATTTTGGTGTTGCATTTCGCCTGGATGATCTTCCTGGCGTGCGCCCACTTGTGAGCGGCAGCGAGGCTCGCCTCCTGTTTGTTCCTCTCCCGGTTTTCTCTAGTCTTTTTTTCGCACCTCCTCCCTGTGCGCGGATTTCGGCAGTTGCCCGTGTGCCGCGCTCCAGGACGCCCGCAGACGAGTTGCCATCATGAGGGATGTGGAGGAGGATGCCGTGGAATAGAGGGCTGGGCAAGATGTCGTACCCCAAGAAGGGAGGATGGAGGAGGAACAGGAGGAGTATGGGGGAGGGAGAGGGGAGGGGGATAGGTCGAGGAGAGAGGAGGAAAGGGCGGATGAGGAAGAAGAGAAGGAGGAGGAGTAGGAGGAGGAGGGGAAAGAGGGGGAGGAGGAACAGGAGGGCGAGCAAAACTACCAGAGTCATCTTGGATGCCCCTCGGAGTCTCTCCGAGAGTTTCTTGGAGTCCTCTTGCCTCGTGGCGGTTCTGGGTGTTTTTTTGGAGTGTCGTGGGTGCTTCGGGGGAACCTCTTCGGGTCTCTTGGGGGTCTCTTAGGAACTTATTTGGGACCTTTTGGGGGCCTCCTGGGGCATCCAGGGCGCCCTTTGGGGCCATATGTGGGCCCTTTTGGGGGCCTTTGGGGTGATCCTGGGACCATCTTGGGCCAATGCTGACGGAGTTGGATCCGAGAAGAGGGCCTACTTCATTACATGTGCTCTCCAGGGAGGCCAATCTGCGACCAACATTTCCGTCAAAGCACTGATGTGTGTTTTCACGCTGTGGCCATGCTGGACGCTCTAATCTCTCGCGGTCCACACCCATCCAGGTCCAGGGGGGTAGGGGAGGCGTCAAGACATTCTCCAGGCAACAGGCCGTCCAGCTCACTCCCACCCGCCCTCCCAACAAGAAATTGGCATCCGGGCCTCAGCATGTTCAGCGGCAGTCTATGGATTGGCAGTCGATGGGGCCAACACAGACCCGTGTGCGCGACGGGGCGACGTGCGCCACGCACGCCAGGCGATCCAGGTGCGCCAGGTCCCCTTGGGCCCAAGCGTGCCAGGCACGCCTCGCGCACCAGATGCCCCACGTGCTTTACGTGCGCCGTGTGGGTCCAGCCACGCCAGGTGCGCCACGTCGGGGGCACACGCAGAGCGTGCCAGGTGCGCCCACTCGCGTGACAGCGCGCATCGGGAAACATGTCGGCCCCCCCACCATTTTTGTCGAACATCAGTGCGCAATCGCGGGGAAAGACCATCATGGTGTCTGGTGGGCCTGCGCACAGCAGGCAACATGCCAGCACCCCCGCGGTCCTTGTCAAACACAAATGGGAAGTGATTGCGGGGTGGTCGCGCAGGATGCAGATTGTGCCGCGAAGCGAGTGTCGTATTGTTTTTTGATAGGGGTGGTGGCTCTGCGCATAGCAGACAATATGAGGGTACCCCCGCCGTCCGGGTCCAAAACCAATGCACAGTGCTCGCGGGGCCAACGATCATGCCAAAGTATGTTCCGCATTTCTTTCTGACAGAGATTGGCGGGGTCGGCATTTGTCCTGTTTGGCTGCCAGTCGCCTGGTGGAGGGGTTGCCAATTGATGGGCAGCAGTGATAAGCCCCCCCCCACCGAAGGGGCGGAAGAGGGTTGAAAGAGGAAGCTCCTTTACACCGCTTGCGCCCGAAAGCTTGGCATCATTCGGCGGTGCGCATCGTCCTCGGTGGGGATCATCGGGGAGCATCTTGGGGATCACCTTGCGAAGAACAAGCGCGCGTAACCAAAAAACACATGCGGGGGATGGATCGACTACAGGATATTGACTTGCCCCAGAGGGAATTTCTTGTCGAATCCACGGGCACATCGTAGGAACTTTCGCAGATCTGCGCATGCTTGGCGTATTTGTGTTGAAGAGTCGACGTGAAGTTCAATCTTGGGGTCCATCAGTTCCGTAGTCGAGCCCCCAGTCGAGAGGGCTGGTTGGCTTAGCTCCACTTCCCCCGCGAGGGCGTGGGCGTCTCCAACAACCCCGGCGTGGGGCCCGAGGCGTGGACCGCCTTCTGGAGCGCGCTGCCCGCGAGCGTGTCCCGGTGGGACGCGGGCGACAACGGGCTCGAGGACGCGTGCCTGGAGGTCAGAGAAGAAGAATGATGAGCCCATGTTCCACCAACACTACCATAGGGAGGAGGAGGAGGAGGTGGAGGAGGAGGAGGTGGAGGAGGTGGAGGAGGAGGAGGAGGAGGAAGCGGAGGAGGAGGAGGATGGCCTCCTCATCCTCCCTCCTCCTCCGTCCTGCATGTGGTAGTGGTGGTGGAACACTTGCCCATCAGGAAAAAGTGCCGATACCCGTCGGTCCTTGGAAGCAGGTATTGTTGGATATCCGGGCCCCAGTCGTCTTCAGGTGCCTTCCTGCTCTTCAAGGGCCGATCAGCTTTTGCCCTGCTGTCTTATTCTCTGAGAGGGCCTGGACCCAATCTACTTTAGCCGCCTTCCTACTTCATGCTTCTACCCACTTTTTTTCCGACCCGTTTTTCCTGTTTTTGCTCGCCCTCCTGGGAGGCCTTCGTCGCCACCGCTGGATTCGCCGCGAACTTCTGGGTTCGGGGGGCCTCGCCTGTCCCGAAACTTAGTGTCTTTTCTTGTGCCCGACACGGGCTCGATGCGGACTCGACGCGGATTTGGCGTGGATTCGACGCGGGTAAGTCGGACATGTATTCGACGCGGATTCGACGCGGGCAGGGCCGCGACGGGACAGACAAGGCACCCCGAGGATGCAACAGAAGCCTGAACGCGTCCCGGAAGAGGTCAAGGGAGTAGCTTCTACAGGAGGAATATTCAAAAACGTGAAAATTGTAAGGGGACGATGGTTTGACCATGCTTGAATGTGTGTCTGAGCATTTTGACGTTGATTCGTCCCCACAAATCCCCTTGTAGGGAGACGTCCGACTTAAGAGTAGTTGTGTGGGTACCTCTTCGCTTCCCCACGAGGGGCTGGCGGCGGCGGCCGGCCGGGGTGCGCTGCGGGAGCTGCTGGTGGACGGCAACAGCTTCTGCGACGTGGCGCCGCTGCTGGCGCTCGTGCGGAACTCCCAGGCCCTCGTCCAGAAGAGCAGACAAGACTCGAATGAGAAAAAAACAGCATAAACATGAACTTTGAGTCGGGCCTGTCCCTCCCTCTACAGGAGGAGTATTAAAGGATAGGCCCAAAATAGTCTGGGGACTTACTTTACTAGTATTCACAGATTTGGAGTATGTTTGACTATTTTCTATATTTCGTCCAAGGTCCGCCTGTAGGGGGACACGCCCGACCTAACATGAACTTTTGACGCTCCGCGCAGATATCTTGGATTTGCGCTGGGCCCCCCTGGCCTGGCGCGCTCCGCGCGCCAGGCAGGGTGCTCCAGCGCAGATCCAAGGAGTCCGCGCGGAGCGCGTTTAGTCTTCTTGCTTGTTTGAAGACGGCATGAGCAAGTCTCGGAGGCCCGCGCGGGCTTCTTCGATCCGGCCGCTGCCCAGCACCGCCGCCCGCCGCCGTCGAGCACCGCCCCGGCCGCCGCGAGACACACCCCGGCCGCCGGCAGCTGGCGTGCACACGAGGTTTGGGCCCCCCTCTCTGGCGCGCGCCGCGCGCCAGGGGCGCCGCTACAGTCGGGGCGCTGAAGAAGGAACCCTTCTCGTTTGGGAGGGGCTCCGTGCCCCTTAATTGTTTCACAGTTTGCCTTCTGTTTTCCGCAGGTTTTCGATGGGAGATCGAAGTTTAACTCATGGAAAAAGGGGCCTCGTTCCTAATTTCGGGTTCCTTAGGTCAACGCCCCGGCTGTAGTTGGGCCCCATCGCGTGTATGCTCACGCTGCTGTCATTACCAACTGCAGCATCGTAAGGCGGTCACCACTGGAGCCCTGGACCCAATGTTTACGCTGCGCTGTTCGAGCTGGATCCATATGTGGCCAGACGCTGTGCGGAACGCCTGTGCTGCAAAAATAGATCGGTTGCAACGCCGGCAGTTTAGGGACGGGGCGTCGTGCTCCCCCACACGACCCGCCTCGCAAGCATTGCATACCGCCGCCGCCGCCAGGCCGAAAGCGTAGCGGTGCTCCTCGGGTGTCCCGCCGCGTGCCTGCGACGAATGGCGATTGCATACCGCGGCCGCCAGGCCCAACGCGTGCCAGTGCTTCCGGGATTCCAGTTTATCCCGCCTCGCGGTCTCGGGTGGGGATCGTGAGAACATATCGACACCGAGGGAAGGCCAACCCTAGGCCCACCCTTACCCCCTTCCCCTTGTACCTACCCTTGGCCTGGCCTTACCACCCTCGGCCTACCCTAGGCCTAGCCCTATCCCCTTCCCCCTAGGCCTATCCCAGGCCTACCCCTACCCCATTCCCCCGTGGTCTGCCCTAGGCATATCCCTGGGCCTTTGGGATCGTGTCCACCATGGGCCTTGCGGGCAGGGCCCAGGGTAGCATGCCCCTTCTCCAGGGTTCTCTACTCGTATCGCGTCAGCATCCGTGTGTTGGTTCCGCGTATGTCGTTCTCTGCTCTTCTGTCGTCGAGCTCGACCTCGGCGACAATGGCCTCGCCGACGCGCAAGTGCGGCAGCTGGCCGGGGCGCTGCCGGGCTCCGCGGTGGAGACCCTGGTGCTGGGCAGGAACTCGGGCATAGCGGACGCGGGCGCCGTCGAGCTTGTCCGCGTGCTCCCCAGGACTCGGAGGAGGAGGAGGCACCCATCCAGTGCTCGTTTCGCTGCCTCCGGTTCGATTCCATCTCGATGGTCTCCGATTCCGCTTCGATTCGACGTCGGATTCCGATCTGGATTCCGATTTCTCAGTGGAGGCCTACCAGCTTTCCGATTTCTGCCGATTCGACTTCTCCCGACTCGGCGGCCGATTTCCGCCGATTCGATTAATTTCGATCACCGACCCGATTCATTTCGAACGCATCCCAGGAGAGGTCTGGGGAGCAGCTGCATTGGTAGTTCAGTTTGGCCTCTCCAAGGGCAACACAGGTCACCACACTGCACCTCCCCCTTCTCACTCTCCTTCTCCTCCTCATCCTTCTCCTCCTCCTCCCCCTCCTCTCTCTGCCACCCAGTGATTCTCCCTTTCGGGTTTCAGGGGGGGCGTGTCTGATTTTCCCACCAGGGCCATCGTGAAAACTCAGTTGCAGCCACAGGCTTGCCGCCCAGCGAGTCAAGGTCTCGGATGATGACTCTGCTTGTCTTCGCTCAGGGATGTCTGAGTGTAAGTCTCTCTCTCTCTCTTTCTGCCACGCGGCCCTCTGCGGACGGTGAAGCAGTGCTCCCCAGGACGAAGGTCACCATCCTGCACCTGGACAGGCCGGGAGGGACAAAGACCTGGCATCGCTTGGACGTGTGTGTGTGTGTTTTTGTTACTCGGCGAGGACCCTTGAGGAACATCTTGGACCATTGGGCGACAAAAAAGCACGCGCAAAACCGAATCATGCACGGGAAATGGACGTCCGAACGACCAGGTGCGCGCGCGCCGTCTTCCAGATTGCGCCGCCTCTCTCTTGCGGTCGCACAGAGGTATAAGATCGAGGTCGGTTCGGGGGAGGGGGACGTCGTGCTATTCGTGGTTGTTGGATGTTCTTGTGCATCGTGTGGGGGGGGGGGTGTACCCTCGAATGTTCTTCGGTCTCGCTGGCGGATGGGCCTCATGTTCTTGAAGGATGTTCTTGTGTCCTGGGCCCTGCCGTATTCTCTCTCTCTCTCTGTCTCCCCAGCCCCCCGACGTCATGATTTGTTCAATACCTCGGCCCCCAGAGGTCTCGACCCATCCCCTGGGACCGGTTTCTTATCCCCAGACATTTTTTGACAGTCCCGGGGCCCGGCGAGGGTGCGTGACGCCGATACTGTTCTTGCCCTCCGAACAGCACCCAGATCGGCGACGCCACCCTGGCCGCGCTGGCCGAGGTGCTCGCGGACACCCAGCTCGAGGAGCTCCACATCGATGAGACGAAGGTTACGGACCAGGGGGTGGTCGACCTGTGCAAGGTCCTGGGCCTCCCAAAGGGGCTCCGCATAATCTCGGTCGGTGGATCGCGCCGCATTGCCGATGCACCGGGGACGTGTGACCCGACGTGGAGGCCGACTTTGGCCAGGCCGGCGTCGCCGATGCATCGCCGGCTTTTTCGACGCCTCGCCGATGCCTCGGCGATGCATCGGCGAGGCGGCGCGATCGCAGGGCACGGGCAGGGCCTCAGCTTGGGTCCGCGCGGCTGTCCCTTAGGAGGGGAGGAGGAGGAGGAGGAGGAGGAGGAGGAGGAGGAGGAGGAGGAGGTCGGAGGATCGGAGGAGGCGGAGGAGGAGGAGGAGGGGGAGGAGGAGGAGGAGGCGGAGGAGGGAGGAGGAGGAGGCGGAGGAGGAGGAGGAGAGGAGGGAGGAGGAGGGGGAGGAGGAGGAGGAGGGGGAAGGAGGGAGGAGGAGGAGGAGGAGGCGGAGAGGAGGGGAGGAGGAGGAGGAGGAGGGGTCTGCGCCGGGAGACCCCCCTTTGGCGGGGCGCCTCGGGCCTCCGCGCCCTGGTGGGCGCGCGCCTCCGAGCCAGACTCTGAAGAGCGGGTGCGCCCTTGCCGGGCCGAACGAAAGGGGGGGGGGACGGGGAGAGGGGAGGTTACGAAAGGGGGGGATAGGGAAAAGGGGGATAAAGGGAAAGGGGGGGGGCTACGAAAGGGGGGGGAACGAAAGGGGGGATGGGGGAGAAAGGGGAGGTTACGAAATGGGGGGATGGGGGAAACGGGGGGGTGCTACGAAAGGGACCGAACGAGAAGGGGGGGGATGGGGGAAGGGGGGGGGTACGAAATCTGCTGCATGCAGCTGGTTTCGGCCGCGCCGCTGGGCCCATTTCTCGATGCATGAGCGCCTCCCGGCGCCGGGAGGCGCCGGGAAAATCAGCCACGTGAGCTGATTCTCAAAACCCCTTTTGCTATCCCCCCCCTTTCGCCCGGCCCGAGAAGGGTTGGCGCGCCCTTGGTCCGTGGGGCCAGTGCAGCCGAATCGAAGACGAACGCGGCACAGACTTAAGTCGGACCTGTCCCTCCACAGGAGGAATATTCAAAAATAGCAAAACAAAAAATAGTCTGGGGAGGATTAGTTGGCCATCGTTGGCTATTTTTGCGCATTCTTGGGGTATTTGTTCATTTCGTCCAACATCCGCCTGTAGGGGGACAGGCCCGACCTAAGCATAGACACGAACGATCGGAGCTTCGCGCGGATGTCTTGGATGCGCGCCGCAGCTTCCTGGCGGCGCCTCTGGCGCCGCCCTTGGCACGGTCCGCTCGCCGCTCGCCAGGGAGGCCGGTCTAGCCCAAGAAATCCGCGCGGAGTTCTGAAAGCTTATGTTTGCGCAGATGCGTCTGTCTCTAAAGTCAGGCGATCGCAAACATGGATCAAGGGGTCGTGGATTAGCGACGGGTCCCGCTTCCATGGGAAATCGCGTATTTCCGCCGCCAGACGAGCCGGCACTGGCCGCATTTTGGGGAAGGTGGCACCTCCCCCGATCCACGGATGTGGCGACCGCGCGCCAAGGCCGTGGATCGCTAATTCGTGTTTGCGTGCCCCCGATAAAGGTGCTGCCCCAGAGCAGGCTGAAGTTCCTCGACGCCGGAGACAACAACCTGTCGTTCGAGACCGCCCAGGCCGTGCAGGCCGCCGTGGGCGCCGACGTGGCCGTGACGTGACCAGCAGAGGCGGCCGGCGGCGACCAGTCCGCCAGGGGAACCGTCGAAGAAAATAGCAAGGCATCAAGCAGTGGCGAAGCGTCCGAGCAGCGGCGGCGGAACATCATAGAAGCGTCCCAGCCCCCCTTCTAGGCCCACCCACAAAAATTATGTGAAGCTTTTGTGGTCTACAGGAAACGTTCTTAGAGCGTGTCTAGCTGGGACTGTCTTGTTTTAACGCATCGGGTTATGTTCTAAGAACATTGGTTTTGCTCTACGAACACTCCTGGGTTCTAAGAACATGTTGTGGTAGGCCTCTAGAGATGCTGGGACGGTCGGTCCCTGCTTAATTTGGGGCTCAAGAGATCCTGAGATCCTGGCGTCTCAATTGTTTCGAGCCGGGGGCTTTCGGCAAGATTCGGGCCCCGGGCCCCTCTCAGATCGATGCGGCTCGACGGATGGTGCAGCAAGAGGAGGTCTAGGGCTCCACGCGCGATTTGTCGCTATGTCTTGGCTTTTACGAAACCTCGGATCTCAGAGGACGGGGGTTCAATGCAACCGGGGGGGTCAGTCAGAGCGCTGGATCTTGCAGGATCCTGCAGCGTCAGGGTTGCATTGACCCGGTCTTGGGTGCAGGGCCCGCAAGAGCTCGCAGGACCCTGCAGGGCCTCACTGCCCCCCGTGTCTGGATTTTTCCGGGTCTGTCATTCGATCCCCGAGGTGCCTTCCCGGCCCTCGCTCCGTCGCCTCTGCCAGGCGCGCTCGGCTAATAGGCCCTTTGTCCACCACCACCACCACCATGAGTTGGAGGGGGGGAAGGAGGGGGAGGACGAGGAGGAGGACGAGGAGGAGGAGGAGGAGGAGGAGGAGGAGGAGGAGGAGGAGTCTCAGCGCTCGGCTCGGGCCCACGGCCAAAGCAAGGGGAGAGTCTGCGGAGGTCGGCCGCGCGACGGCAGCGGATAATTAGCCGGAGTCGGGGTCCTGCTGCATAGGTGCTGCCGCCTTACCAGCCGATGATGATGATGATGATGATGATGATGATGATGATGATGATGATGATGATGATGATGATGATGATGATGATCATGATGATGATGATGCTGATGATGATGATGATGATGATGATGATGGTGGTGATGATGATGATGATGATGATGATGCTGATGCTGATGATGATGATGATGATGATGATGATGATGATGATGATGATGATGATGATGATGTTTTCGTCGTGAGCGCTAGGCCTGGGCCTCTGGCGTGTCTTTGGTGGCTCTCTGGGACTCTGCCTACCTCAGAAGTGCCCTTGGTGGCATAGCGGGTTGAGCCTTGAGCCTTGAGCGGGATAGCGGCACGTGACCTGCGTAGAGGTTGATGACTGGCGCTTGCGCTCGGGGGATCACTTTCTTCGGTGCTTCTCATGTGTCAGCCTGCGTTGCAAGCCTATGCGGCCGCAGCTTGGAGAGGAAGCCCCACGACGTCAGTGGATAGCTGAAGTCAGGATCCTGCTGTATAGGTTCTGCCACCTTACCAGCCGCTCGACACGCGACCTGCGCAGTGGCTGTTGATTGGCGAACCGTGCCCAGGCTGGGCGTTGGCGCTCGGGGGATCTCTTTCTTCGGTGCTTCCCATGTGTCAGCCTGCGTTGCAAGTCTGTGCGGCTGCAGCTCGGAGAGGAAGCCCAACGACAGCAGTGGATAGCTGGAGTGAAGATCCTGCTGTATAGGTTCTGCCACCTTACCAGCCGCTCGACACGTGACCTGCGCAGTGGCTGCTGATTGGCGAAGCGTGCCCAGGCTGGGCGTTTGCGCTCGGGGGAACACTTTCTTCGATGCTTCCCATGTGTCAGCCTGCGTAACAAGCCTATGCGGCTGCAGCTTGGAGAGGAAGCCCCACGACAGCAGAGGATAGCTGGAGTCAGGATCCTGCTGTATAGGTTCTGCCACCTTACCAGCCGCTCGACACGCGACCTCCGCAGTGGCTGCTGATTGGCGAAGCGTGCCCAGGCTGGGCGTTGGCGCTTGGGGGATCACTTTCTTCGGTGCTTCCCATGTGTCAGCCTGCGTTGCAAGTCTATGCGGCTGCAGCTTGGAGAGGAACCCACACGGCAACAGTGGATAGCTGGAGTCAGGATCTTGCTGCATAGGTTCTGCAACCATACCAGCCGCTCGACACGCGACCTGCGCAGTGGCTGCTGATTGGCGAACCGTGCCCAGGCTGGGCGTTGGCGCTCGGGGGATCACTTCCTTCGGTGCTTCCCAAGTGTCAGCCTGCGTTGCAAGTCTATGCGGCTGCAGCTTGGAGAGGAAGCCACACGGCAGCAGTGGATAGTTGGAGTCGGGTTCTTGCTGTATAGGTTCTGCCACCTTACCAGCCGCTCGACGCGTGACCTGCGCAGTGGCTGATGATTGGCGAACCGTGCCCAGGCTGGGCGTTCGCGCTCGGGGGATCACTTTCTCTGGTGCTTCCCATGTGTCAGCCTGCGTTGCAAGTCTATGCGGCTGCAGCTTGGAGAAGGAGCCACACGACAGCATTGAATAGCTGGAGTCGGCATCGTGCTGTATAGGTTCTGCAACCTTACCAGCCGCTCGACACGTGACCGGCTCAGTGACTGATGATTGGCGAATTGTGCCCAGGCTGGGCGTTTGCGCTCGGGGGATCCGTTTCTCGTTTGCTTCCCATGTGTCAGCCTGCGTTGCAAATCTATGCGGCTGCAGCTTGGAGAGGAAGCCACACGGCAGCAGTGGATAGCTGGAGTCAGGATTTTGTTGTGTAGGTTATGCCACCTTATCATCGGGGGTGGAAAAGAGGGGGGTGATGAGTAGGGGGGGTGGATATCATGGCGGGGGCCATGATATCTCCCCAGATTTCATTGCGCCTCTTCTTGTTTCATTACGTCCCTGGCCCCCCCGCTGGGCCGCGCACATGCCGCCGGCCATGATTTGCACCCCCCCTCTTGGACACCCCCCTCTTGGCCGCTCCCGATACCAACCGCTCGACACGTGACCTGCGCAGTGGCTGCTGATTGGCGAACCGTGCCCAGGCTGGGAGTTTGCGCTTGGAGGATCCATTTTTCTGGTGCTTCCCATGTGTCAGCCTGCGTTGCAAGCCTATGCGGCTGCAGCTTGGAGAAGAAGCCACACGACAGCAGTGGATAGCTGGAGTCAGGGTCCTGCTGTATAGGTTTTGCCACCTTACCAACCGCTCGACCATTGACTTGCGCAGTGGCTAATGATTGGCGAACCGTGCCCAGGCTGGGCGTTTGCGCTCGATGGATAACGTTCTCTGTTGCTTCCCATGTGTCAGCCTGCGTTGCACGTCTTTGCGGCTGCAGCTTGGAGAGGAAGCCACACGGCAGCAGTGGATAGTTGGAGTCAGGATCCTGCTGCATAGGTTCTGCCATCTTACCAGCCGCTCGACACGTGACCTGCGCAGTGGCTGATGTTTTGCGGAACCGTGCCCCGGCTGGGCGCTTGAGCTCGGGGGATCACGTTCTTTGGTGCTTCCCATGTGTCAGCCTGCGTTGCACGTCTATGCGGCTGCAGCTTGGAGAGGAAGCCACACGACAGCAGTGGATAGCTGGAGTCAGGATCCTGCTGTATAGGTTCTGCCACCTTACCAGCCGCTCGACACGTGACCTGCGCAGTGGCAGGTGATTGGCGAACCGTGCCCAGGCGGGCGTTTGCGATCGGAGGATCAATTGCTCGGTTGCTTCCCATGTGTCAGCCTGCGTTGCAATTCTATGCGGCTGCAGCTTGGAGAGGAAGCCACACGACAGCAGTGGATAGCTGGAGTCAGGATCCTGCTGTATAGGTTCTGCCACCTTACCAGCCGCTCGACACGTGACCTGCTGGCAGGTGATTGGCGAACCGTGCCCATGTGTCAGCCTGCGTTGCAATTCTATGCGGCTGCAGCTTGGAGAGGAAGCCACACGACAGCAGTGGATAGCTGGAGTCAGGATCCTGCTGTATAGGTTCTGCCACCTTACCAGCCGCTCGACACGTGACCTGCGCAGTGGCAGGTGATTGGCGAACCGTGCCCAGGCTGGGCGTTTGCGATCGGAGGATCAATTGCTCGGTTGCTTCCCATGTGTCAGCCTGCGTTGCAATTCTATGCGGCTGCAGCTTGGAGAGGAAGCCACACGACAGCAGTGGATAGCTGGAGTCAGGATCCTGCTGTATAGGTTCTGCCACCTTACCAGCCGCTCGACACGTGACCTGCGCAGTGGCTGATGATTGGCGAACCCTGCCCAGGCTGGGCGTTTGCGCTCGGGGGATCGTTTTCTCTGGTGCTTCCCATGTGTCAGCCTGCGTTGCAAGCCTATGCGGCTGCAGCTTGGAGAGGAAGCCACACGCAGGATCCTGCTTCATAGGTTCTGCCACCTTACCAACCGCTCGACACGTGACCTGCGCAGTGGCTGATAATTGGCGAATTGTGCCCAGGCTGGGTGTTTGCGCTCGGGGGATCACGTTCTCTGTTGCTTCCCATGTGTCAGCCTGCGTTGCACGTCTATGCGGCTGCAGCTTGGAGAGGAAGCCACACGACAGCAGAGGATAGCTGGAGTCAGGATCCTGCCGTATAGGTTCTGCCACCTTACCAACCGCTCGACACGCGACCTGCGCAGTGGCTGATGATTGGCGAACCGTGCCCAGGCTGGGCGTTTGCGCGCGGGGGATCACGTTCTCTGTTGCTTCCCATGTGTCAGCCTGCGTTGCAAGTCTATGCGGCTGCAGCTTGGAGAGGAAGCCACACGTCCGCAGTGGATAGCTGGAGTCAGGATCCTGCTGTATAGGTTCTGCCACCTTACCAGCCGCTCGACACGTGACCTGCGCAGTGGCTGATGATTGGCGACCGGTGCCCAGTGTGGGCGATTGCACTCGGGGGATCACGTTCTCTGTTGCGTCCCATGCGTCAGCCTGCGTTGCACGTCTATGCGGCTGCAGCTTGGGGAGGAAGCCACACGACAGCAGTGGATAGCTGGAGCCAGGGTCCTGCTGTATAGGTTCTGCCCCCTTGCCAGCCGCTCGA